AAATGTCTTCTGCAAAAAAGAATGGGTACAAACATGCTTTCAATCAATGTCAACACATCTCTGACGAAGTGAAGACCCAAAGTGTTTAACTTTTTTAAATAAGTGAGCGTTGTGATCATTCACGAAGTGAGTATTGTCATTCGAGACAATACTCACCGAAACCATTTCCAAAATCGTCGTTATAGGAATTTGGAACCGGGTGTTACGAGGTAAGAATTAGAAGTGCAATCATGATGAAAATTATGACACGTATTTTGAAAATGTCCGTTTCACACTAAAAAGGGAAAAGCGGACCTGTGCGATGAGCAGCGTCTCTTGCGGACCAACTAGCAGTGAACTGGATCGAGTTCTAAAAGTGTTCTTTCGCAAGGACAACTTTATGCCTCGGAACCAGGCTGGCTTGCTCTCACTTGCTATAAAAAAAACATGATTTTCTGAATTTTGAAATCATTAGATGTTATAATCATATTTTGAACTTGTTAGATACAAGAAGAGGTTGAAAGGCAAGTGTTTGACACATGAAACCTCACACACAATCGGCATCACCATGGCGGAGGACTACGAGTGCTATATGACGAGAGAAACCAGTGGAGTACGAAAAATGGTGAGAACGGAGTCGATGGCTAAGTGGCAGCAGGAGTGGGATGCAGCAGAGACGGTAGATGGACACACAGCCTAATACCGACTCTTTCGACCTGGGTGAACAGGAAGCATGGTGAAGTCAACTTCCGCTTGACGCAGTTCCTATCTGGTCATGGCTGCTTCAGGAAGTACCTACGTCGGTTTGGACACAACGTCACCCTTCTGTCCGGAGTGTGGGAATGTGGAAGAATCACCAGAGCACGTGGTCTTCGAATGTCCTAGATTTGATGTTGTGCGAGAGGATATGCTCGCCCTTAGCACGGAGAATGTCGTCGAAGAAATGTGTCGAGAGGAGGGCACCTTTATCGCCGTCAGCAGAGCAGTAATGCAGATCATGTCAGCGCTGCAGCGAAAATGGCGAGAAGACCAACTAGAAAGTAGTAATGTGCTCACACAAGTGCGAACTGAAAGCCGAAGCCGGGAGAACTCTCCGTCAGAGTAGGCTGAATCCACCACCGGGGATAACCGAGTAGAACGTGACGCTGGGAGCTAAATGGCTCACAAATTGGAGAGACGATCAGTGAACTGGAAGCGCCAATTAGCTGAGGTAAAGTGAGGTGCGTAATGCACGCCCCCCTCCGAAGTAATACGACAAATGGTTCCGGGGGAAAAGGACAAGGCGTCCAAGGAGGTTTTAGCAACAATCAATACGAAACTAACGATTTTAAATTGGCTCACTACTTGACTAGTCTATTGGTCCCAAGCAAACGATTAACGTATCCCATTCTAGTCGAAACTCTACTACTACACAATGTTTGTTTTGATTCGCTATGAAAGTTTGACAGATAAGATGAGGGGTTATTGGTTTTTCCTATTTTTCGAGGGGTGAATCGATTAGCTTGGGACCGAAGATAGTACCAGAGCTGAGCCAAAAAGTTGAGTGCGTTTCTTCGGGACCTACTAGTCTTAGAGTTACCTCTATGGTTTTAGTGCGGTAATAATCCCACACACCGAGTCACCGCGACTGTGCGCCCAGTCATAAAGCGGTGGCACGATGGCCTTTTGAAGGTTTCCTCCTTGCAAAAAAAACACACACACACACATAAATAGATCGATGTTTTGGACCACCCTAACACGGAAATTATCACCCTTATGGCGGAATGAAAAATACCAGTCTAATATTTTTTGATAAGGAAGAACTATACTAATTTTCACGAAATTCTGAGACTCACTAGAACTTTTTTCTATGGAATTGCTGTATATACATATAATGTTAATAAAATACTTCTTGTATTTGTAGCACAAACAAAAGTGAGGGAGCATTCATAAACACTTCAGGTATTGAATCATCAAATATTAAAGGGTGTCCACGATGAAATTGCCACACACAAAATTGATTCGCAAAATTCGAGTTTTCATCCGATTGCCATCAAATTTTCAGGGATTAAGAAATAACTATTAAACTTCATTTTACCATTTTACTCGTATTTTATTTACAGTCCATACGCAAATGCCCGCACCTTGGCCTTAACCCCGGCCATAAGATTCTGCACAACCTGTGAATCAACCGTTTTTTGCATGTAAACCCATACTTTCTTCAGTTCCTCGACTGTCTTCACTACCTTAGGTCGTTTAAGAAGGTGCTGCTTCATAATCGCCCAGTACTTCTCGATGGGGCGGAGCTCCGGAGTGTTGGGAGGGTTGAACATTTTCGGCACGAAATTGACCTTATTGTCCGCATACCACTTCCGCACGTCCTTGGAGTAGTGGCATGAGGTCAAATCCGGCCAGAAGATTGTTGGGACGTTGTGGGCCTTCAGGAGAGGAAGCAGCCGCTTCTGGAGGCACTCTTTTATGTACACCTGTCCGTTCATCGTGTCCTGGGTCACGAAAGGTGCACTCCGCTTCCCGCACGTGCAGATGGCTTGCCAAACCAGGAATTTCTTCGCAAATTTGGACATCTTCTGAGTGCGGACATGCTCCGGAACGCTGAACTTATCCTTGGCCGTGAAAAACAGGTTGCCGGGGATCTGTTTGAAGTCGGCCTTCACATATGTTTCGTCGTCCATGATGCAGCATTCAACTTTCGTCAGCATGTTGAGGTACAACTTCCTGGCACGGGTTTTGGCGGACTTGTTCTACTTCTCGTCGCGATTAGAGGCCTTTTGTACCTTGAACGTTCGAAGCCCAGCCTTAGTTTTGGCCTTCTGGACAAAACTTCGGCTTAGGTACAGCTTCTTAGCCACATCCCTAACGGAGGCGTTCGGATTTCGGTTGAAGGCCCCAACTACGCGGTTGTGATTTTTGGTGTTGTACGGAATACTTTTTCCTTCACTTCTGGGCTTCCGATCGGTGGTCAACCGTTCCTCGAACCGCTTAATCACTCGCGACACCGTGGAATTCGCGATTCCCAACGTTTTAGCGATGGAACGATGCGAGAGATCCTTGTTCTCGTGATGAATGCGCAAGATTTTATCACGCACAAGCTGTTCTTTCGACTCCATTTCCGCGAGTTTTGATCACAGGACTTTAAAACTTGCAGGATGTAAATAATGCACTATGAACTAAATCCACCCAAATTTTCATTAAATTCTACCCAACGGTTAAAAAGTTAGAGCAATTTCATCGTGGACACCCTTTATCACCTGCTAAATTTGTTTGTTATTTTTAGAAAAAAAATGTGGCATACATAGGTCAGCTTCGAGCTGCTGGCTGAGTCAGAATAAACATTAGCATACGATGGGGAAGCATGCGGTTGAATGTATGTTGAGTAATGGTCAACTCTGTATATTAAAAATCCACACTTTGTATGTCTAGAACTTTAACCTGCAGAAAGTGGACCATATTGTTAATTTATAATATTTGGTTGTATCGTTCAATGCCGAACTTTTGGTTGCTTGGGATCCCAGTCCCAATAATATTAAGGAATTTTATAGTCACATTGCTTACTCATCGTATGTTTTGTGAAACTTATCATCGCCGTCGTCGTCGGTGCCTGGTTTGAATGATATGAGAGACTCGATGGCCTTATAGCGACCGTTTTTGCTTCTTGAGCAGAACATCATGGGTTTAATGTCAGGCCTTTTCACATTCAAGTTTCGCTTTCTTTCTTACCATAAACACATTGGCCCTTATTACGACTGTCACTTCACAGTGAAAACGAAATGAAGTGACAGCGTGTTCCTCATGTTGAAATGATTGTCGTGTAAATCAAATTTGAATAACTAACATTGGTAATAAGAGCCATTTCTTTAATTCAGCGTAGCGTTTGGCAAAACGAACCCTGCTGCAAACCCAAGCCTTTTATCCAACATCCCAGTGAATTCAGTGCAGAGGATTTCTCGGCATCCAACAAAGCGAGTATCACTTAATTGGCCTGCATTCATACATGGCCGGTGCTGGATTGCCTATTATAAAGTTTGAATTTTTCCACATTGATGATGTATGCTAGTCCCACGGCAGTAGCAACCGCGTGCGGTCAAGCATGCTCGTGCTCATGTTCAATAAATATGGGAGGGAATAAGGAGGAGAGCACAGAGAAGCTTAACTCACTACTGAATATTTAATTATGGACTGATAATGATGAGACGGACCGAAAAGTTTTGGATCATCTGTGCTACCTTTGGAAGGAAAGTGGTTATATTTTTTTTTTAAATGCGGACTATGAAAAGGATTCTGTAAAGTTTCACCTTAACACATTTTCGCTAATGGCGTCCATTTGTCTATTTGTGTTTCATGTGCATTCCATGTCTGGTAGCTTCAAGTTTCAGCGGAGATTAAAATTCCATTAGATTCCTCTTTTTTAAGCAACCTAAAAGAATGCAAAAATGACTTGACTAACACTTCAGTCTCAAAAATCGATGACGTCTGCCCATTTATAAACATTTTTCTACGCTACAGAATTCGACAGAGAGTTGCCTTTTCGAATCTTGAGGTGGGTGTATGATGGTAGACTCCATCGTTGTTGCCAATCATGTGATTTTTCGCGCATCCACTTGAATTTGGTGGCGTTGTTGTTTGCGCGAACGATTGGCCCGGCCCGGCAGCAGTCGCAAAAATATTTTCCAATTGAGTCCGTTGGTGGAATGTAGGCCCGATAATCATGTACCATTTGCCTACAGGAATGTTAATTTCGGTGTGCTTAAGAAAAATGGAACTCTCACTGGCACTGGATAACAATGAAAATGATAGTGTTTTTGATGAACTACTTTTCTTTTTGTTTTTGGAGGTAGGTAAAGGGAAATTATTGCATTCTTTCGCATCTATTGAAATTGAGCATCACGGGGTAATGTTTTTGCAAAAAATAATATATTTGTTATTTTTTTCTGTACAGATTGAACCACCAATTTGAAGTGATATCATTCCTAGTTAATTTTAGCATATGAAACAAATCAAAAATCACCTAGTTAGAGTCTGTGTGTGATAGCCATTCTCATTTTCATTCTATGTAGCCCTTCTGCAGATAGTCAGGCGACTTATACACGAGGAACTACATTTGGAATCGAATACATATTGCAATATTTTGTCAATATTGTCTACGTAGGTGATAGATCAAAAACTAACCATATTTTACTTTGGATCTGTAGAATAGTGGTCTTAAATAATTTTTTTTTCTCTATGTTTTTTTGCTGATAATATTAAACGCAATATACAGAATTAAATAGTTTCTATCAAATAACAAAATATTGGCCATCCAGCACAAAAACATGCCTTTTACATGGTTCTCTGAAGCAATGTGTATATAGGATATATAACGTATTCGTCAATTCATATACCTATTATCGCCAGGAACGCGCTCACTCAAGAATTTAATTTAGTCCCCTTAAAGACAAATGGTAAAGGAATTGACGAAGACGTCATTTCCCTACCATGTTAATTTCAATATTAGGAGGATTAGAGCAATCCAAGCTTGATGGTACAAGCGAATAGAGCTTCATTGTTCAATGATATTATTTTTACGATATTCTAGTATCTAAACTGCTGTAGCATCTATGCGCTACTGTCCATATTGATCGATAGTGATAACAGGACAAGAATATACTCACATACTGAACTGCATCTTCCAGAAAATGTAAAGTGTGTCATGAAACTCTAACGTTCCACCAGTGTTTGAAAAAAAAAACAAACTAACATTAACACCGAAAGCTTCCATCCATGACCGTCATGCCAGCAGAAAACTACTTCTCGAAATACTTGGAACAATTTGGAAACCGTTTTGCGTCGTAGTCCGGATCCTTGGTCAATCGTTCCCGTATGCTGGCTTTCATGGTTTCACAGTAGGAGCTTTGCAGTGCGGCGTCGTCGGATATCGTGTTGGCCAGTTCGTCCAGACCATTTGAATTGCTGCTGCTGGCGCTGGCTGGATTGATGCCGGTGCTGTGGAAAGCTTGCCGAACGCCGTCCGAAATCAGCGAAGGAACATCAGAAGAGGGTTTCGTTTCTGCTATCAGCTTGCGTCGTTTCGAAGACATGCCCGAGATGTATGCATCTGAGTATGGACCCTGAGGGTTCTGAGGGAAAAAAGAAAAAAAAAAATGAACAGTTAGAAAATAGATACGCGGACGAGATTTATCAATGTTTGTAAATTTGGGCAATACTTGAATAATGGGTGTTCAATAAAAAATGAGAATGATTTCAGTGCCGTCCCGCGCTCTTGTGAGAGCATCGCGACTAAGTTGCGTCGTCCGGCTGACCAGGGCCCCTTCTCCAATATTGATTGACGTTTTTTTGAAGAATTAACATTATTTTTTAATAAAAAAAAAATACTGAATTCGTTGAAAAAAAAAAATTTGTACTAACTAATATGACTGAAAAAATCTCATTTTTTTATTGAACACCCGTTAGTAAATTCTCGCTAGTAAATTCTTCCGTTTTCCTTACAGGGCTTTGCATTGCAATGACTTGATAGGGTAAAGTGGAGCCATATGGAGCCACTCCAATGAAACTCGAATAGAATTCCAGTATTTTGACCAGAACATAATTCTTCCTACAATTTTGCAGAAGCTACGAGGGTCTATGCCAGAACAATTATACAAAACTGGTAAACTTAAAAAAAAGTCCAAAAGAAAACTTCTGGAGTAGCCCATTTGGAATAATGCAAGGCTGGTAGTGGATATGTGATATAATAGTACGTCAGGATTACTCAAGGAATCGTTGATCTTCTTACTTTACTTCAATTACGTGATTTTAGTTATCGAAGGTCCACGACTATCATATGCAAAGGATCTCAAATCTACTCACGGATCTGCTCGATCGAGGAATGTCAATTCCGCCGTCAGTTTGAAGCATTTGCTAGCTGGTGCCATTTGAACCGAATGACGGTGAATCCCGCGAAGTGTTCCTTTACTCGAAAGAAAGAACCAGCTCTCCGGGTCACCATTATTGGACGTGTGAGCCATGTAAAAGATCTAGGTGTCATCATGGACTCTCAATTTACATACAAGCAACAAATCTCGTACGCCGTAGACAAGTGGTCAAGGACATTGGGCTTTAACTTCAGAACAGCTAAGATTGTCTCCGACATCCAATGCATCAAGTCATTGTATTGCTCCATGGTACGTTCCATACTAGAATATTGTTCTATGGTTTGGAGTTCGAACTACAATAATGGTACTGAGAGAGTCAAGTTCGTTCAACACCGCTTTCTGCGTTACGCTTTGAGAATGCTACCATGGAGAGACCCGTTTCATTTGCCCAGCTCTGAAAGTCGCTGCATCGCAAAATGGAGCGTACACGTAAGTGGAACATTTTTTTAAACATTCTGAATAGATATATTTTTTAAATCTTGGGTAGTGGTTGAACAGATGTTTATTGATTTATCGTTTTAGTTTTGAACTTTATTGGAATAGCCTGTATAAAGTTAGATTTATTTTAGGAAAACGCACGATTTTCAACTTTTTACCTAGTGGACGAATTTTAGTAAAATTAGTAGAATATGAATGATCTTTATTATGACTAAAAATGAGCAAAATTTCAAAAAGCTTGGTTCATTATATTTCAAGACATTAAGGTTTCTCACGGAAAAGGCGTACAAATTGATAAATTTATGATGATTCAGCAGCCAGAAATTCAGAAACGTATATCTTTAAATTGTGCTTTTAAAGCTGTTTTTTTTCTCAAATTTAAGGACACCTGTACGCTTAATTTTGAGATACACTGTACTTCAAAAGCCCTGCTTGTTGCGGACACGTTACATGGCAGAATTGATTGCACCGCAATCTTGGAGCAAGTAAACATTAACCCCAAATGCTTCGTAACAATGTTATGCTGAGAATTCCGAGCAAAGTCCAGCATCAAAATGACAGCAAATTGAATCATAATTTGATTTCAGTTTACGCAATTGACAAATTTTATACCAAATTTTGTTTTCATTTTGCTGTACATTTACTCTTCAAAAATATGTTGCTGCGGGTTTGTTTACATTGCCTTAGCATAACATCAAATTGAGTACATGTTTTGTTATCAACAGGAAAAATTGATATCAAATTGAGTTTTCAGTTTGCTCTCACTGATAGCAGAAATAGTCTTCAATGTGATGTCACAGGAAGATTTTTCGCTCTCAATTTTGATATTTTAACCGTTAAAACGACCAAAACGACAGCAACCTGTGTAATCCTTATCAGCGAAATCACAACATCAAATTTAGATTTCCATTTGACTTCAGACTTTGCTCGGGATGCCACTACGTAGGACAAACTATGTAATCAACGGTGCAATAGGCGGAATGCAGCGAGTATTTAACCGAGTTTCATCAGTACTCGATTTCCACTTGCCTCGACAAACACTTCGGAGACGTTTCTCTTCATTCTCAGGTCGTGCAGTCGCTGTGGTTTTATCATACGGCGTATGGTTGCACCGTACGGCATATGGTGGAGTTGGATTGCAGTTTGTCTTTGACTAATTAGAAATCACCAGATTAATTTAACTTCTGAGATCCTGTCAAGTTAGACAAGCTCTCCAGAAACACGGAATATCTACGATATCCGGGAACTTGTGAGGTGGAGAGCTGCATTTCGCTTTCCGTTTATTTGCTTTTGTGCGGATCTTCCACTTCCTCAGAGAATGATGGGAGAAAAGGTGAGAGCACATATGCTGGAGAAATAACATGTTGAGTAATGAGTCTTTTTTTGAAAAGCTCCGCTATAAATGACGGATTGAATGGTTTAAACTTGTGATATTAGTGAGCGGATGAGCTGCGGTTCATCAACCGTTTTCTATACAAGAAGTACTCCAGACGTATGCAGACCAATCTCCGGCGTAATCCTGAACTATTCTGGACGTTTGTGAATACAAAAAGGAAAGAGGATGGGCGGCCGATTGAGATTCATCTAAGCGATAAAAAAAACCAACACTTCTTTAGAAAAATGTAACCTCCTGGCAGAGCATTTCAAGAGTGTTAACCCGAGCAAAGTCTGAGATCAAATTGAAATCTAAATTTGATGTTGTGATTTCGCTGATAATGATTACTCAGGTTGCTGTCGTTTTGGTCGTTTTAACGGTTAAAATATCAAAATTGAGAGCAAACAAATCTTTCTGTGACATCACATTGAAAACTATTTCTGCTATCAGTGAGAGCAAACTGAAAACTAAATTTGATATCCATTTTCCTGTTGATAACAAAACAAGTATTCAATTTGATGTTATGCTAAGGCAATGAAAACAAACCCACAACAACATATTTTTGAAGAACAAATTTACAGCAAAATGAAAACAAAATTTGGTATCAAATTTGTCAATTGCGTAAACTTAAATCAAATTATGATTTCAGTTTGATGTTGATATCAAAACTTGATTTCAATTTGCTGTCATTTTGATGCTGAACTTTGATCGAAGACATCGTTAAGCCAAGTTGCTGAAGGGATCAGAGATACTACCAGTGACGTGATATTTTCACGGTCACATTGGACCTCGTCGACTCTGCTATCCAGAAGCTGAAATTCTCGAACGCTGTTGGGCCTGACGGCATTCCATCGTCCATACTAAAAAGATGCTCAACAGAGCTTGCCTCTCCGCTTTCAAAGCTGTTCAATATTTCATTACAACTAGGTGTATTTCCTTCTCGTTGGTTCATGTTCCCGATTTTCATGAAAGGACACAAGCGAAATTGTGCAGAATTACCGAGGAATTACTTTGTGTCTGCTCGAAAGTATTCGAGATAATCATCAACGACACTTTATTTGCCAGCTGTAGAAACTACATTTCGACAGTGAGCATGCACGTAAACGCGATGATCGATTCTCTTAATCGATTTTCTCTTCAAATTGCTACAGCTAAGAGAAGCAATTTTCTGACATTTTTACAATACAGTGTTGTAACAGGCTGTATTGGCCTAGCTTGCAAATGCTCATTACACAAACTTTTTTTGCTTCTTACAAATTAAAATATTCATTATAGTATCTCATAGTTTCATAATTACGAAAAATAGCATTTTAGCTGTAATGAGCAATTACAAGCCTGGTATTGGCTATCAAAAGCAACAACCAACGTACCGAGAAATGTTAATCCAAGTAAGTTATTAACAAAAGAGAAAATCGACAAAGAGAATCGATCATCGCGTTTATGTCCTTATGCATGCTCACTGTTGATTTCTCCTGACCAACATGGTTTCCACCCCAAACGTTCGGTCTCAACAAACCTCGCTCCTTTCATTTCCCTATGCCTACGGAATATGGAGGCAGGAGCACAGGTGGCTCTCAACCGGGTTGAACATGCCATTCTACTTGCCAAACTCGCGAAGCTCGGCGTCTTTCAAGGACTCATCGTTGGTTTGCATCGTATCTTACCAATCGAGAGCTTTGGGTAAAAATCGTCTCTGATCAATCGGAAATATTTTTCAAACAATTCAGGCGTTCCTCAAGGCAGCAATTTGGAACCGCTACTACGAAATCGGTGTGATGCTTCCAACCGGCTGCCGGTCATTTTATGAAGACGATGTGAAAATGGACGTGATTGTGCGATGCTTCACTGATTGCTTGCGGTTGCAGCACCTGATAGTTTTGAAGAGTGCTCTAGGAATTTTATCACGTTGATTGTTAAAAAATGCAATATCCTTACTTTCCATCGCAAGCTAAAACTTATTGCATTCAATTATACGATCGTGGTGAGTTTCGGTATCCTACCTGCCTGACAGTTCTATATTGTGCTCTAGTGCGATCGATCTTGGAATTTGGTGTAGTGGTATAGTGTCCGTATGAATCTTCTCTTCTCTTCTTCGCATTTCAAGCTTATTACTTATCGCATATTAACTTAATGCGTGATCTCAACTTAGTGTTCTAGATGCACTTCCACGGTTATTAATTGAGAGCTTTCGATGCCTGGTACCATTTTTGCATTAGTATAATTGTGTGGCAAGTACAATAATACTCTATGTCCAGGGAAGTCGAGAAATTTTCCAACCCGAAAAATTGTTAGACTGGACCGGGAATCGTACCCAGCCTCCTCCAGAATGATCTTGCTTTGTAGCTGCGCCTTTACCAACTGAGCTAAGGAAGGACCAACCGTGCGTATGAAACAGTTTGGATAGCGAGGATTGAGTCTGTTCAGAGGAAATTCGTTCGTTATGCTCTTCGCCACCTTCCTTGGAATGATCCAACGAACCTTCCACCCTACGACGATCGTTGCCAATCGTTGAACCGTAAGCGTTAAGCATAACGGCTTCCCACAATGGTTACTTGATTCCATGGTAAGCGATATGCTGCCGTCGGACAGCGACTTTGAGGACAGACTTACATATAAACTCCAAATCCTCCACTTGAGTGACATCCCATGTTGAAGGTCATATGGGAAATGGATGTAATGTCGGTCTAAATGGCCCTAATTTTGCCCATACATCAATTCAGCCATCGACTAAATTTTCAATAGCGACCATAAATTCCATAAGTACAGTCCCAATGACGCGTTGATCTAGATAAAATTGATGAATAGCAGATTTTTGGCGATGGACCCAATATTAGATCCATAGGCCAACATTAGAGCAATTCCTCCTATATAAATATAATGCAATCGCAGTATACACCTCATAGAGATCTTTAACCTTCATAAACTTTCAACGAAATCATCATTGTAGAAAAAGGTGAGTTTGGTAGTAGTAGTACTTAAACCATGCATGGAAATAAGCTAATCTACCAGAACCGGAACGGATACTTGCGAATTACCCGGGGGAGAACCCCACCCATGTGAGTCTAGAATATCGCACGAACTGCCGAGTACAACGGGAAGGACAGTAGGTGTATAGACTAGGGGGTTGGTCCCTAGATACACCGACTTAGCGAAAGGCACAGTTTATGCATCGAACAATTACAAATACTAAAGCTACCGAGACTCAAAGATTTTTTTTTAATTTCCTGTCTTTAAAAAATGTCGAGAGCTTGAAAATTTTCCTAGATCATTTTTCGACATCTTAGGCAGTGATGGAAAAGTTCGCAAAAAAATCACTATGACTCACGATTTTTTCCCTTGGTGAACTTCGTGAAATATCGCGAACTTTTCCAACACTGATCTTAGACTTGGAAAACTTTCAAGATCGCGAAGTAAAATAGCCAGGATATTGGGCTCAGAATTTCTTTCGAAACCTCAGAAAATGTGTGATAGGTCGAGAACAATTTTGAGAACACATGAAAGGGAAAAAAACTACAAGGGACAGCCCTATGAGGTTGTACGCAATGGCGACGTAGGACTACGTGGTCATATATAATAAATATTATTAGTTAACTGCAGCAGGAGCTTGTGTTTTGAGTAGGAATAGGAATTTGAGTGGGGTTCTCTCTGTTTATACTCTTTAGTATGACGCGCTTGGCATAGATGACCCACAGCGACTCTCACGAAGAGCTACTGATTCCGATCAATAGCGATGCGTCTTCTTCCTCCTTCTATGGATGCTCATGTGGGCTGCAGTTCGCTGCTTGCAGGCAGCTTTTCGTTGTGTACTGGAGAACAATGTTCAACGCCACGTGCCGAAAGCACTGCTGCTGCTGGTGATGCCGACGACCGGACATCACCACACACGATAATTGGAACTGAATCCGATCAACGGTTGAGGTCAGCCTTGATCGCTAGCTGCTTGCGGGGAGCCTTTCGTTTTGTACCGGAGAACACCACCACTCACCACGCGGTGATTGAATAAACATCGTTTGGTGAGATCGGATGGAATTCAACTTTGAAATCTGTGTTAGGGAAAACGCTTTTCGCAGGCAATCGGTGATTATTTTAATTATCATAGCAACAGTAGCATGTTCGTGCATTTTTCAATTATGAAATTTTGAAAAATGATAAAGTCTAAAATTTCACAGATGCGTAGGAATATTTCTCATTGATTGGTGATAAAATTATTGAAATTGGTCCAGGGGTAGCTGAGTTATTAACGTTCAAAATCTTTCATAATTTTGTTACATGTTTTTTTCGTGTGTACTCCCATATAGAAATCACAGACGTAGTCCTACGTAAAAATGAAATGTTATAATCTTTTTCTACCACAAATGTGTTAACAAATCAATCTGTGATTTGATATGATTTTTTAAAGGCAAATTATTTACTCTCAACATTAATGGTTTGAAAGTAACTTTAGTGACTAGTGACTTTTCAGTGACTGACTTGAAAATAGTGACCTACTACCAGCTCTGCATAATGCCTAATGACATAGGTGCGGGAAATTACGGTACTTTACCCCCAGTCCAGTCCCAAAAGCTACACCCTTACCTGTCGCCGCTGTCGAGCAATATCACGCGTGATCACCGGTAACCATGTGGATGGTAGGTGCGTATGCCACGGTTCAGAACCGACCACCACCGACGGAAGTTCCTCTTCGCCGTCTTTTTTCGTCAGCGGTGGTGGAACCTGAGGATCGACCACCGCCACCGGTATCGTCATTGTAACGTCTTCGTTGTTGTCCGCACCGGAAGCGGTAACTTGCGCTGTCGGTGCTGCTGGCGCAGATGCTGATACGGGGGCGGCGGAAATCACAATCGCAGCACACTGATCCAAGTTAACGATCGGTGGTTCGATGGAAATTGAAATTTCCGCTATGTCCGATACCAGTTCGGGTGTAGTCGAGGATTCTGCATCATCCACTTCCATGGGCTGTAATAAGCTGGGGATTAAAATTTTAAAAACTAAAATGCGCTCAAACGGATGACTTACACTAGGGGCACGATTAGTTGTGCTGGTTTGGCTGTGTTCAGGTGCATGCCGGCGAATGACCAAAAATTCCTGAATGTCTTGCTGATCGTGATTACTGGACCGTTCCAGTTGTCGATGAATGGCGGGTAGGAACAGTTGTAGCAATTCCGGATTAACACTGGCGCCTTCCTGCGTACTGAAAATTGCCATGTTTAGCAGTTCTCTGGAGAAGGATTGGGCATTGCTCTGTCCGATTCCAGTAACCAGGATCATAAAGAACCGACGAACGAATGTGATTAGGAAACGAAGCAAACGAACACCAAATTGCTGAGAGTTGTCCTCGCGTATCAGGTTGATACAGAAAGGAATCGAATTACGGATTAGGTTCTCGATCGAGGCTCGTGTATCGTAGTCCGGAAGATCATAGTTAGACACGCGCGACAGAACCGGAACGAGACGTTGTATCAGCTGATTGATAGCCTAGAGATGGACGAAATATTAGTTGAAGACCCAGAAGAAGAAAGGTGACAGAGCAAACTTACATCTTGCATAGTGGAATCGCTGATGGCCTGGCCACTGAACAGATTATCCACGACATACACTTGGAGTGAATCGCGTACACGGTTCAGTGTGTTTGGATTGGGAACAATCTGCTCAAAGTCGCCCAATGTAAACTGACTACCGAAAAGATTGAATGGTAGCGATGAGAGGGATTCCGGTGGAGCTGTTGAAAGGATTTTATCGTTAATAATGACTTCTATCAAGTCTGGAAATGTATTAATAACTCACGCGCACTGGGTTGACTAGTAGCTACCGTTGGAGTGGCTCCACTGTTGCTATTGTTGCTACCGGCGTTGTTGGCAGAAGCAGCATTTCGAGTAGAGGCCGTTTCCGTAGAAGCCCGGTCTGTGTTTTCGCGGATGTGATGACTGTTACATGGGAGGAATCTGCCAACAGAAAATGAATAGTTGTTACACATACATAAACAAAGAAATCCGACGAACAAACCTGTCAAACGAGGACAGCATATTGGCCGGGATGGGCCGCACATTCCGGATATGTGCCGGCGGGATGCTGTGAACGTGAGGTCTGGAGGTGGAACGGGTTTGGGTGGAGGTCGTCGGGAGCGTGACGGTGGCAAAACGAGACTGAGATCCATTATCGTTGCTACCGCTGTTGGTATTGGTAGAAGTGTTGTTCGTCATTGTAGGATTGGCCTGTGGACCACCACCGTTGCTGGTTGTAGTGCCACCGGTTCCAGGGGTGCTGGCCGCCGAAGATCCAGGTGGATTTCCACCAGCGTTGATTTGCACGTGGATATCGGCATTCATTGGAGCGGCATTGACGACGGCTTGGATCAAACGTGCCACCTGCATTTGAGCGTTGTTGGCTGAAAAAGGGTAGGAAATAGTTGTTGTACAGTTAGGAATTATTGTTAGCAACACAGTTGAAGATGCAGGAGTAGAACATTATTGTAGTGTTCATTATCCGTTTAACGCGAAATCGAAATGGAATGCGATGATACGAACAAGAACCGAATGTATATCATTTGACGAATGAAATAAAGAGTTGTTGTTTATCTATCGAGGGAAACACTAGTCTTTTACTTTAGCTCCCTATCACGAAATACAATAGCTATGTGTTAGTTATACAGCGCTTAATAGGGTTTAAATTGACTAGTCGGGACTCATAATAAATCATAGGTAATATTATGATGTTAATATGCTATGGGGAGTTAATCACATCTCATTGTGACATTCGAGGCAAGGAACACAATCATTTTCAACATATGTACATTTTCAACACTTGTTTTCAAGCTCTGTCATGTAATGCTTGAAGCCTACTTTTGAACCCTTAATTTAATTTTAGTTTAATTTTTTTTTCTAGTGCGAATATTAAAAAATTTTAGACTACCTCAAAATTTCATCAATGTTATAAGATTTTTAAATCAGAAAATAAGGTCTATCAGTAGTTTCTTACAACTTATCGTTAAATTTTCCTTTAGCGGTTGTATAAATGGTCATTGGTTTCTTATATGACACGATGTTTTTTAATCTTCAATAAACATTTAAGTTTTTTTTAATAAAATATTACTTAAGTCCATTCGGGGTAATATGAGCGCCACTGGTATTTCAAACATTTTCTAATTAAATTCTTCAATTTTGCATTATTCCTTTTATAAATATGACTGTATTTTATGAAATCACGTTTTGAAGCAGCTGCTTTGGTAAAAAATCAGTCTTTCACAAAACTGAAAAAAATATAGCTTTAACTAGGCATTATTTCTTAAATTTGATTTATTCTACAAAAAATTGTTTCTTTTGAATCATTTTATGCTAAAACTGTTCATTGTTGACCCCTCATAAAGCCTCAAGAGAACAGAATATTTTTACCGGTCCTTTACAAGGGCTGAAATTTTTAAAGTTTACACTCACTGGGGCAATAAAATCTTAAGAATTCCATTAATAAGGTATGAACCTGGACAATTTTGATTTCATAAGATACTTATGAATTCCATAGGCATGCGATATGGCACGACTTATTAATGTTTATCGTAATACATGAGGTACTATGAGAGGTTCTTATACTTCTTTAACATACCATAATCCCAAACGTTAATAGATGTGGGAACAAATCACGGAATCAACCCTCTGGACGCTCAGGAATCGATTCCGATCTGCTACATTCTACACGCAGAGAAAATTGACCTTATTGAACCAAAAAAAAATATTATTGGAATATTTTGCAATGTCAAATATAACTTTTTTTGAATTCAATATTTATTTTATTTGTAGCTTCAAAAATGTTTTTTGTTGTTTTCATTGCAAATTCTGAAAACAAATATATTGTAGATTCAATAAAATATATTTTTGTCTTCAAATATTATTTTAACTACTTTTTAAAAATATATTGTAAATTTAAAAGCAAAACTTTTCCAAAACATACACAGGCTCATTTTGTCAATGTATGTGTGTGTGTTTTCAATGCCTGTGCATGCTCGGCTTCCCAGTCTCGTCGGAAGAAGTTCTTTTTGAACAAGTTGCTTTCTTTGTAAGGAATTCAGTATTTGCATTTTAATACGTGTTTTAACGATTTTTTTTCCCCAATTCCAGCAAATCAATACACCGTGGAAACGTTGCCCGTTTCGAAAAGCAAACTATTAATTTACATACCGTTAATGAGAGGTCATAATTTCGGTATTTTTTGTATAATTGATAAACCTATTGAATTACTATTTGTACCGTTTGTTAATAAATAGAAAATGAAACCAAAAACAATTTTTAAATATATTGAAAATTATTTCTCGAATAGAAAAACTGCTAAAATTAAAAATTAAAATATTTATGCCAAACCAATTTTATTTTTAAATTATTAAAAACAATTTGTTATTTGCAGCAATTTTTTTTTATTTGAATAAAAAAAAGTTATTGTTGGTAGCAACTTATTTTTTTTTATCAAAAAAAGATTTTGTCTGTTGGAAAATAAATATTGTAAATTCAACAAAATATATTTTTAATTGCGTTTTTGACAGATTTTGAAAACAACAATATTTTATGTCCGAACAATAAAGATTTATTGTTGAATTCAATAAAAAAAGTTATTAGCCGGGGAATGATAATTTTTGTTGTTGTTTTTAATACATAATATCATTGAAATTGAAAAAACTTTTTTCTGCGTGTATATTACTTTTTTTAAGTTTCATAAGCTAACTAATGAATTCTATTTCATACACCAAATTATGATTTTCATAAGAAATCCTATTGTCAAAATTTCATAAGACGTTCCTTTGCCTGTAAAGTGGTGTAAAGTACCACCGAGGGGTTCTTAAATGCCGATTTTCGCCAATGATATCATTGTACTTGTAATGCACTTGAATTCTTCACTCAACCTCCAACTATTTTGGCATTTCTCGGGGAAGTGGTAAGAATATGAAATGAGCCAAAATCCATCATGCGAAAGCAGATGCAAATCCAATTAGGTCTTTAATTTTGAAAAAAAATATACCACTGAAAGGGCTTTGTTCTCTAAGCACAACGTTATTTTTGTCGATCCCATTTACTTCCGTCACAAATTTTAAATCAAGATGAAAAACAAAATAATCACTTCACTGTTTGGCACAAATCTAACAAATTGACAGCGCACTCCCATACAAAGACCCATTGAGGGGTGCAAATATGGTGATTTTTGCTATTGTAATCACACTTAGTTAACACTCCGAACACGATGTCTCCGGTAAAATGTGTAACGGCAGCAGCATTGCTCAGCAGTTCATCGATAAATTTTATATCTATTGATACCAGCGGCGCCGGTGGTGTAGTGGTAAGCGTGATTACCTCTCACCCCAGCAGGCCTGGGTTCAATCCCAGTCGGCGCCGCCGGGATGTTCTGAGGCATAACATCTCTGATCACGTCTTCCTTCGGAAGGGAAGTAAAGCCGTTGGTCCCCGGTTCATGAGTTGATGGGTCGATAGGTAGGGTCCAGGTGTGGGAAGCTGCCTTCCTGGCGTCGGTAGCATTGGTGCTCAGCACGGAAAACAAATCAAGGAAAACAATATCTATTGATACCGAATAAATCTTTAAAGTCTGTAGTTTTCAAACATTGCAAGTTTGCCGTTACACGTTTTACCGGAGGCATCGTGTTCGGAATGTTAAAATGATGAAATTTTGGATTTTGGTACCATTTTTAATGCAGATTACGAATATGTAGGTACTTCAATGCCCCTAAACAACCCAATTAGAAGATTATCGGTCAGGTGAAGCGCCCAGAACCCAATTGGGTTGTTTAGGCGTATTTAGGTAAGTACATATTCGTATTCTGCATTAGAAATGGAATAGTCAATTTTGGTGCACTGAACCTATTTTAAGTAAGTGCGATTACATCAGCAACAAATCGCCATCTTAGCATCCCTCGGTGAGACTTTGTATAAGAGCGAGCTGTCAACTAGTAGATTTAGTGCCAAAAATTACAAATTTAAATCTTGATTTAAAAATCGAGATGAATGTCTATGGGATCAATAAACATATCGTTCTGCTCAGAAAAAGAAGCTCTTCCAGATGATGTATTAAAAGCGGTATATTTTTCGAAATTAAACAACCCAATTGGCCTAACTTGGACACATTGCATGTGAAATAGGCAGTCTCAACCAGATATCCTTTGGCACTTGTCACCGGTAGGTGGATTAATCAGTTTTTTTTTTTATAAATTTAAATATTTTGGTTCCAACATATCATTAGGGCGAAACTGCTTTTGTAAACAATGACTTCAAGCGCCCATTTTTAACAAATTAATAATGCCAACATCTACCTGACGGTGTCGCTACTTTGCATGTATGAGCTTTTATTCGCGAGAAATCAACGGCTAAAGCCAATGTTTACAAAAGTAACTTCGCACTTTTAAAATGTTGACACCTATTTATTTTCTTAAAGTTTTTTTTTGACTATTAGACTATTGCGACCTTTTCAAAGTCATTGTAGCGTTTTCAAAAGCTTTAGAGGAAACAGTCCTATTGTTGCGATACGTTAGAAGCGTTAGGAGCCTATTGTTGTGTATGGAGACCTCCATAAACAACATTAGGCTTCAAACGCTTCTAACGTTCCGCAACAATAGGACTGTTTCCCCTACCTACTATTTTGAATCTTGTTTAAGTTTTGAGAGTTTGTGCACTCCACTGTAAATTCAGTGCTAACATTTGAAAACGGCACAAAAGCCATTTGTAAACAAATGGTTTGTGGGCCCTTTACTCACTACTTGAAGTACACCCACGCGACACAACAGAAACATCGGGTAGGGGAAATTTTCCCCTTCCTGACGATGCTGTTGGTTTGCGTGGGCGTTCTTCGGGTAGCGAGTAAAGGGCCCACAAACCATTTGTTTACAAATGGCTTTTGCGCCGTTTTCAAATGTTAGCACTGAAATAACCGAGCAGCAAAACTCATAAGCAGAAACGATTGCAAGCGGTTAATTAATCTGGATGCGATCCCCGAGTCTCCCGAAAGCATATTAAAACTAACAGTATGGTAAGACGAACGCTAAGCCAAGCCGACGAGTAACAGAAAGCTATAAATAGGTATAAGGAAAGTAAACAAAACAACACGAAAAACGCAACACTACTCAGCGAATGGAACAAGAACTGAAAAACATACAGTTCGATAATCGTTCAGGGGAACTCGAGCTAGTCGAGTCGGACTCACTGGTCGTCCGGGAGTTGGTAGTCGAGGATGATGGGGAAGCTGTCTGCTGTTGTTGTTGTTGTTGTTCGTCATTCATCGTACTATTGCTGGCAGCACCACTCCTATTGGCACTGGAAGCGCTGCTGCTGCGAGGGGCTCTCCCAGCGGAACCGTCTACATTAAAGAGTAAAACAATAATAGCAAAACAATGAGAAACGAAGGAAAGAAATGTGGTTTTGCGTCGGAATCCCTTACCTCTTGCTGGCGGTGCTCCCATCGTCTCAACGATATTCTGCATACGTCTAACGGTCGCATTGTCGAATAGTGGAATATAGACACGAGTAACAACATCGTCCGGGAGGTTGTTAGCACTTCTACCGGATTGACCTTGTTGTTGATTTTGGCTCTGTGTTGCCGATGTACCCGTCCCAGCTGTACTGGCAGCCGTAGCTGGGGTGGATCCAGTACCCGAGGTTGGTCCAGTAGCTCCCGTCGCTCTATTTTGCTGGACAACCGGTTCCAGCAATGGTACGGTAATCGGTCCATTGGGTGCAGACCCGGGTAATCCAGGAATTGACAGGTTGATAATCTGAGCGTTGATGTTGTTGTTGCCCATGTCAGGGTTGTTGTTATTGTTGGTTGCGCGGAGCAGGTTAGCAAGGTTGATGTTGTTCTGAAAAGAGAGAAGGGCGATTAGTAAGTAAAATTGCACAAAGTAGAGAAGCTTGTTCTGTAACTCACGGGAACAGCAGCAATGCCAGAACTTACGAAAGCTGACTGCTCGACCAGAATCGGCCGACAGCACAGATGACGAGGTGCAGCAGTTTGCAGATCCAGCATCAAATCGCTGATTGCATGCTGGGCATGGGACATGTAGTGCAACGCTTCCGAGATGCGATCAAAGACACGTTGAGCACTTTCGCGACCGGTGGTGTCCTGTAAGGGAAAACGTCTTTAAGATACTCAAAGGAAGTATTTCGATCAATCCTACCGATTCCTCAAATGTGGGATCATTTTGCAGTATTTCAAAGTACTGCTGCAAGAAAGGCTCCATCCGACGCTGAACACCGCGTATCTGTTGAACCACCTCGGCCAGTGTCTGCGTACTGGTGGTTTGATTGCGTGAGGATCCAGGACGAGCCTGTCGTCTGGAATCAGCACTTGATTCCGAAGTGCTTGAAGAAGTGGATGAGCCTCCAGAGGAAGCTCCGGAACTCTCCTGGGCCGGTGTAGCCGTAGCACTCGTATTCGGTGGTGTAATGATTGCCGAGTCTGGAATCGTACCAAATACCTGTACAGATGGATTCAGCGTATCCTGCTGTTGTACGGTAACGTTGGAAATGCCGTTCTGACGGAAAGCAGCCGAAACTGCCCCCTGGAACGCTTGGACAAAGTTCTGCATCTGATTATGAGGAATGTCTACGTCACCGACGGCGCTGATGCCGACTTCGAAGACGGTGGACTCCATGGTTTGCTGGGAAAGAATGTCCATGGCGGTGTTGTTTAGGCCTCTTTCCGGTGCCTCCAAGTAGCTGATGATGTTGTCAGCACACTGTAGCATGTGTCGAGCAACAGTGATACGATTCATGCACAGCGTTGATGATGGGCTAACGGTTGGGATTTGCGGAGGAGTCTAGAATGAAGAATAAATTCTGCATTAGTCGACCAATGCACCTGTCAGCGATCAGGTACTCACGGTGGCGTTTACATTCAGCGGAATTGAAGTCATCGAACCAAAGTACATGGTATTGAAATCGTCCAGACCGCGGAATATCTGCGGTCGAGCAGCGTTGTCACTGCTGCGGGATCGCCTAGCCGAGGCACGGGCTCCGTCGTCTCCCAAGCTGGAACCTCCACCGCTGGTGCTGCTACCCCGAGCCGACGGAGGAGCTCTTTGAACCAGATGGACCACTTTCCCGTTGACATCGTACTCTTTGAGAGCCTTGTCTTCACTCAACACTCGACCGCAGTAGATCAAACGCTGCATGTCCACTGCAACGTTGATTTTCTCTGCGATCTGTTCCTTGAACTGGCGAACGGTAATCTAAAAGAAGGTAAAAGCCGATTAATTGCAATGGCATGACAAGTGGGAATAGTAGTTTTAGAGCAAATGGGAGAACCCAGTTTGGCATAGCTGCCGTCATGTTCACTGCGGTTGTGTGAGTGTGTTTATGCTTACGTAAAATGAGTTTACGTGTTTTAAAGTTTCAAAATATTTATTTTTTTCAAGCCAGATTTATCACAGGATTTCATTGGGAGATATTCAAAGACATTCATTCTCCGACTATGTTTCAAATTACTCTAAAAATTATGCAAAGAAAACTCTTGAAAATCGTTCTGCAATTCACTTCGAACTTCTTTTAATTGTAGCACAATTACCTTTAAATTCCCTTCAGTATTCTTCTGTTTCTTTGGAAATTTTCCTCAGCATTTTCTTAGTATTCCTACAAAAATGCCATCGAATTATTCCTTAATTTTCTTTTAAAATCTGCTCAGTAATTTCACAAAATATGGTTCAGAATTCCCATAGTATTCCAATTTTAATTTCCATGAAATTCTCATAGGAATTGCATTGGAATACTCCATGGAATTCCTTTCAGGCTCTCCTAAGAATTCCCTTGGAAATCTTTACAGAATTCCATTGAAATACACCTTAAGTTTAATTTGGATATATCCTCAGGACTTCCATCGAATTATCTTCTCAGAATTCCCTTAGAATTATTCTCACAAATGCTTAGTAATTATGCTTAAATAATCCTTTGAAATTCTACTTAGAATTAAATTGAAACTTTTCTCATTTGAACTCTTCAAGCAAATGACCTTGAAAATTTTCTTAGATACATTATATTGATATCAATTTGTTTTCAATACTGAGATCTTGGGAAACATTTCAAAATCCGAATCTGAGTTCCAGAATCTTGAAAACTTCTTCAAGCTTGGATTATTTTTTAAGGCCGAAGAATTAAAAAAAATGACATATCGAGTTATAGAATCAAAATAACATTACATAGAACATCGACCAAAGGAGGTATCGACTTATGGAGAGTATGATACATGGAGGGACCACCGAATGCATCGAGTTATGAAGAATTGATTGTATTTGGCTTTATTTGAAAACCGCCATACAATAATAAGTTAAGTTAAGTTTTCTTTAGTAGGAAGGCTTTCAGCCTGAGGCTGGTTCGCCTCCGGCAACATACAATAATAATAATATTTGTGTCGATTTCAGAGGTTGCATTACAAGATTTCATTTACTGACATTTTCCAAAGATCAAAATCTGCAGTAGACAGTGAAAACCGATATTGCATCTGAATGGTCATGATCAAGTGTTTTGTAAGTGAAACCGTCAGAGTTTAAATAACATTAAAAAAATTATTTAAAAAAATATGCTAAACATTATTTTCTTGGGCAAAATAGAAAACAGTTTTTGTCACATCCTAAATATCACTTCAAAATCACGTAAACATTACGTGAAAATCCAGTACAATTATAGTGGAAATCACTGAGCGTAAACATAAGATAAACATTATTTTTCAGTAAATATAATTTCAAAATCAATTAAACATTACATGATACTCCCTTCCAACTAGTGGAAATCACGTTATATTTACCTTACTGTTACAGTAAGTATAACGTGATTTCCACTTAAGGGATTAAAGGGATTTTTGGCTACTTGGTATTAACATGAATGTTACGTGGAAAGTAGTATGGACGAAAGTTACCTATGTTTTCGGAGTGTACATAAACATTATTACATTTTAATATGGTATAGTTTCCAATTCAATTTTCCCAAAGCTTCTAGAACTATCTCGAAGCACCATTTATTGGTTTGTTTTGATTCATTTTATATACATGAACAACATTATTTAAGCAAACGTGTACTTACATCATCTTCCACACTGAAGTCATGATTCTGGGAATCCAACGTCTTCACTTTGAGGTTTATCATGTTGGCGAGCTGGAAACAATCGGTAATAAACAGAAGACCAATAATAATTCAAGATTAACAATGTTTTGGCATCCTCTCTTCATCAGTCAGTCGGTCGGCACACGAACGCCATCTTTTTTCTTCATTCGTGACAAATTTCTAACCTAGCAATCTCTTCAATGGATTTTCACCACAAACCATAAAAAAATTGTGCAAATTTTGCACAACAACCGCTGTATTACCTTGCAACGCCTGCAGTTGTGAATTTAAACAATATTTTTTTTACACTGATCCAATCCTTTCAAATCTTCCGGACAGCAAACAACACCTAGTATTATTATTCCTTCTCCAACCAATCAGCACTAATATCGATCACTTTCGATGACGACCATTCCAGCAGTGGGCAAGACACCAGAAAAAAAATATTTCACCGTTCGATGAAAATGCACGTTTGCGCAACAGTGCACCAAATAATGGAAATCTAATACTATCAGCACACCTTCCGTAGCAAGCCGTAGACCACTTTTTCGCACCGATTCCGGGAATATTTGCACGAAAAACCTAAAAATCCGAACGGCTGAAAATCCTTTTGATCTGGCACTGCTACTTCGTCGTCTTTTCGCACAAACTGCTGTTTCTTCCCTCGGACTTATTTCGTTCTTTTTCTTTTACGCTCGCTGGATGTCAGTTTTGTGGGAAAGGTGCGTTGCAAAACAGATCGATGTGAAATAAGACCGACGAAAAGAAGGGAGACTCTCATCTAGTTCGACGCAGCTAGATCGAGTTCGACTGGACACTGGGAAAATAATGGACAAATCAGTGTCAACATTTCAAAGGGGCGTAATTGCTTTTGTATACATTGGCTTTAACCGTCGATTTCTCGCGAATCAAAGCTCACCCCTCTACTCTACTTGTTGGTTTCATTAATTTTCATGTGTGAGCTTTTATTCGCGAGAAATCGACGGCTAAAGCCATTGTTCACAAAAGCAATTACGCCCCTTTGAAATGTTGACACTGAAATAATTACTATAGACTATAGTCGCTATATTCATAGTCTGGCGGATAGAATATCGAGAACCAATTGAGCTGTCAAATAGCGGAACCAATCGAGCAAATCACGACCAACAACAGAAAAGAGCACATCAGCTGTTGCGAACAAAATTACGGAAACCGTTTTCTCGTGACTCAAGGCTCGCCTACACAAACTAACACCATCTTTAGGTTGTGGAAAGTTTCCCCTATCAGATGATGCTGGTAATTTATCTTCTATTGGCGATGAAAGAATAATCAACATTTTGTTTATAAAAGTTGATAGTACCTTTTCAATTGTGGGTCTACAATATATTGAATTGGTTCCGCTTTTTGCTAGATCGAAATTCTATCCGCCAGACTATGAATATAGCGACTATACTATAGACGAGTGCACGGATGGATTTGAGTTCACTCACTCGACAAAAAGTGACACAACAGCGGGGCCCTGCTTACTAAAAATGAACACATATTTGTTCATTTCTAGTAAACAGGGCCCCGCTGTTGTGTCACTTTTTGTCGAGTGAGTGAACTCAAATCCATCCTTGCACTCGTCTATATGGGCTCTTTTGATGCTATGTCAATTATACAAGGTCTGGCCTAACCGGCTTATTGGTATTAGTGAAATGTGGAAATGTTTAGTGGTGTTCGTATTTCATCGCAATGTTTATCTTTTTACACGAAACAGCTGTTTTCTGTGACGACACGTAGTATGGAATGTTGTGCTGCCGTGACATCGTCATTCGCTTGCTCAGCAATGTTTACAACATTTTTGCTTCTAACACCAGCAAGCTGCCTGTTGTTCCAGACCTTGTATGATTGACATCGCTTTTGGTGGACCACCAATGTAGACCCGCAACCAGCGACCTGTTGTAATTACGGAATTCGGTTTTCTTGGGCAGCGCTGGGTTTACACTTCAAATGCTGCTTTAAATTTTCGGAATTTTCATAAAAATAAAACCAGTTTTGTCAAAGAAATGTTTGAAATATATTTATTTAATTTGTTTTAGTGAATAAAAACTTCCGTAACTTTGAACTGACTTTGAAGTAATTCCCAACAAACATTAGAAGCATAATATGAGCTTATTCAGGCAAAAATATGCTTCTTCAGCTAATAAATGGCTTAGTCAACCTTTAAGCAGCACAAATTGTTTTGTTGGGTTCTTATTCAAATGGTTTTTAAAATGCCTTTGCAAGCCAGAAACATAACCTTGTACACTAAAAGAATTTCACACATTTTTATTGACGGATTTCCATGTAAAATTCCACATAATTTTCATGTGACCACACATAAACAGAATCCACCCAGAAGCACACATTTAATTTATGAGTCAAATGAATAGTATGTGTGGTTACTCATGGCTTTTATGTGTACACATATTAAGTAAATATCATTTGTTTATCACATTGCAAAAATTCATGTGTGGGACACATCTCGGAACACATAAAAACAATCTTTGAAATTTTATCAGTGCATATTTTCACGGCAGAAGGATGCCTGCTAATAAAATCATACCGTTAGTTTCAAATACTTACAAAAGATTTCAATCAAACTTGCATCCTCCTGTTACAGCTGCTCCAGAACTTTTTTCCATTTTTACTAAAGTTTTGCACACGTCCGACGAGCACACGCGAGCAAAAAATGGCTGCCTAATTTTAGACTCAGCTTACACAACCGAGTTTTCTCGGAGTTTTCGGTTAAAATTTCTGTCGCGAAGTTGAGCGCAAGTGGAACGTTTGACGTTTAACACGTTTTAGCGAATATTCGGTTCAGTTGAAGACTATATTTCTGACAAATTTATACTATTTTACCGATATTCGGGTCTGATTCGATAAATACGTATGAAAAAATGTTTTTAAACCATTTATTCGGTTTCTCGTTGGTAATCGAAGAGGTTCGGTAGAAAATTAAACCGAGTTCGGTATTATTTTCTAAGTGTGTATGTATTAAGGTTTTTTGGAAGTGAACCTTACAAATAATGGGTTGTTAAGAACCATTACCATCCAGCATTTTACGAACGCTTATGGCCACCACAATCTGACTGAGTTTTTAGTAGGGAACATATGATTTGACGTTTGGGTTGTGTCGTTTGACGTATAAATGTTCAAATTTGAACGTTTACACGTCAAACGACACAAGCCAAACTTCAAACACGCAGAAAAAACGTATCATCGAAATAAAAAATATTTGAGGTCAAAATAAACGAAAACTCAGTTTGTTCTGGCCACAAAAATAAAATAGGTTGATTCAAACGTACGTTATGTTCAAAGCCATGTGATATCAATGTTTAAAATAAAAATCATTATACGTTTATTTTAAAAATAATAGAGTTGAAAATAAACGTGAATATTTTTGTTTGATTTGATAGCTTTGTAAACAAAAATAAATAGGGTAAATGATGGCTTCGGCAGCCATCGACTGTTTTCGGCAACCACAATTTAAACGTTAATTTCGATGTATTTTCTCACTAAAATACTTCGCTGAATGTATTTAAACGATTCCTTAGTCTTTCAGCTTCAATCCTAATACATTTTTACGACTGAGCAAACCTGTTATGCTAGGTGTTTCTTCAAAAGAAACATAAGCACATCAAAATACGGCTGATTTCGAGTTGCCGATAATAGAACAGCTGGTTAACACGCAGTTTAAACGGAAAGGTTGCCGAAGTAAAAGAGGCTGCCGACAATAGTCACACTCACCTGAGAAGTTTGGAGCGCGTTAAAAACGTTTTCAAACCGTTTTGGACAGTTTTGTTGATTGGAATGGATAGAATAGCTAATTGGAGGCGAACCAGCCCAAGGCTGAAAGCCTCCTTAATAAAGCTAAATAATAATAATAATAGAATAGCTAGCAGCAGATGAATGTAAACAAACAGACACGTCATATGTGGTCGTGACACTGAGAAAATGCTAATAGAAGTGCGGAAGCTGCTTAGATTGACGAGAATACGTAAATTCCCCTATTTTTATTTTAAACATGATTTTAGAGTTTATCTTAAACGTATTTAATGTTAAGAAAAAATATATATTTATTTATTATTATAAATCATCAATGCACGATAAAATAAATCGTTCGTTTCCAATCAACCTGACACACTCAAGCTGAGAAGACAGTTGTAAACCAAATGCGATTCTTCCACAATGCAACGTTTTTGAGACATGGCATCAATGCTGGTACCCGGCGTTTGATGACTGTATAATGTCTCCACATAGAACATCTCATCCAGGAGCCAGTCCTAACTTTCGTACAGGAATATAACTGATAGGAATTCTTCCAATCAGAGTATCACCAGCTCCATTGTCTCATCGTCTAGCTCTTGATCTAATCCGAAAATCTCCGATGATCTAAAATGATAAAAACTTCAGACCGTGCCTAGTGAAATAACTACCATCTTCTGCGCCTTTATTGTCTCCGCCAACCATTTCCGCTTGGCCAGGTTCCACTGGAGAATGATTCCATTCTTATTCGTCACGTACAGAAACCGATCATCGTCAGTCAAACACAGACATGGTGACAAAAGCTGTCAAATACAATGGATTTTGATATTGTTGAAATAAACATGCCTTTGAATTTAATTCAAACATAAATATTTTCGTTTTAAACATGTTTTCAATTTACTTTGAATAATTAATATGTTTAGAGTATGAACATTTATATTTTTGATATAAATGAACAAAATTCGTATCCGTGAATCTTATGTTCCCTACCAGAAACTCAGCCAGATTGTTGCGGCCATAGGCGATCGTAAAATACTGGATACCAAATTCTTGTTTTCTCCATACATTTTTGGGAAAGGAATTATATTGGAACCATTTTATTTATGATTTGAGAACTTCCCAACAAACAATTCAAAGTCACAAATAAGCATACACAATGAATAAATGCAGTATAACCAACAATCAATACGAAACTAACGATTTTAAATTGGCTCACCACTTTAGTAGCCTATTGGTCCCAAGCAAACGATTAACGTACCCTATTCTAGTTGAAATTCTATTACTACACTATGTTTGTTTTGATTCGCTATGAAAGTTTGACAGATAACATCAGGGGTGTGTGGATTCATGCAGAACATGCAGGGGTGAGTGAAATAGCTTGGGACTGCTTGGGACCGTTGTTCTGGTACTGAGTGAGCCAAAAATAATAATGATTTTCTTCGGGACCCAGTGGTCTTAGAGTTACCTCTATGGTATAACAGTGTACAATGCTGAATAAAACAGGATGTCGAATTATGTGCTGAAAAAAGCTCATTGAGATCGATAGATGCGCCTTTATTCCACTGTTTCCTCTAATCTGATTAATTTACTTATTAAAAGCTGTAAAAGTGTTAAATGTCTTTCCAATTCAACTCCAGAAGTTTGATCTAATGACAAACTGAATAAGTGTTATTTGTACATACATTGACACTTTAATTCGACTGTTTTCAATTGATTTAATAACATGCTTTATTTGACGTCTAATAAATGTTCTCCAGCTTCATTATTAGATTTCATTGCATTGCTTTACAATATTGCTGAATAAAGGTGAATACAGTCAGCATAATAGCTCTTATACCACTATGCGTCCATGTTGTTATCACATGATTTGTAAATGCTTTATA